AATCTATGTTAGTTTGCAGACTCAAGTATAGAAGAAAATTCTTCAACCTCATAAACAGAGTGAAATAATTTTTTAGTAATATTTTTTCTGCTTGTTTCCAATGTACTATCCTATTTGTTAAGGAAAAAAATCTTTCTTTTTCAGAAACTGATTATCCAATGGTAAATTATTCCCAACCTTGATTCTACACTTTTAATTTTTCTTCTCTTATGCTTTCCATATTTGATGCTCAATGGGGAGAGGGTAGGATGCAATCTAAACCAATTTTACTGGTTTTCTCTGGCAGCAAATTTTACTCTCAATTTAAAGGACATTTAGAAATCATTTATATGTGTTATTCATACTATCAATGCCCCATTAGCTTATTTTGTTTAGAATCTGCTATATCATCAAGAGATTAAAAACCATAACTGTGCATGCATGAATACAATGACTGTTCATTGCCACCTGGCCAAGGTTCTGTTTACAAGGCTGATATGAACATAAATGGGGAAAAAAAGTAAGTGAAGAGCATGGGAATATTCTTGAGCAATCAAAAATCAGAATTTAAGTGTGGGTGAGTTGAAGGGTTTATTTGCTTGAAATACTGACCTCTCAAGCATCTCTTCTATCTTCATGAGAAGGTTTTACTGGTTAAACATGCTAAAAGTTCATTAAGAATCCTATCTAATAAAAGACAAAAATGGTAATTAACCGTACCTCAGCTATGCTTCCCATTGGCTAATCAGGGCAATATGCAAATTAACTGCCAACAAAGATGGCGGCTGGCAGCCACACAGCTGAAACGAGCAGGAGGCTTGCTTTCTCCAGTGATGGAGGAAGCCAAGGTTCCGGGCTGCTGCGGCCCTGCTCTGAGCCCGAAAGCAACAATGTTTCAATTATAGAAGCTAAACAAACCCCAGATACCTGCTTTCAGCTGGCCACGGCCTCAGAACTGGGATCGCCAGTGACGGCAACAATGTTTCAATTATAGAAGGTAAATAAATCTCAGAATAAAAAGAAAAAAAGGAGAGGCTGGGAGCTTCAGTTGCTGGCCAGCCTAAAAACGGCCATAAGCCCCTCACCCAGGCTGGCCAGGCACCCCAGTGGGACCCCCACCCATGCACCAGGCCTCTATCTAATATAATAAAAGGGTAATATGCAAACTGACCCTAACAGCAGAAAGACTGGGAATGACTGGTCACTATGACACACAATGACCACCAGGGGGCAGACGCTCAATGCAGGAGCTGCCCTCTGGTGGTCAGTGCACTCCCACATGGGGGAGCTCTGCTCAGCCACAAACCAGGCTGATGGCTGCCAGTACAGTGTGGTGGTGGGAGCCTCTCCTGCCTCCTCAGCAGCGCTAAGGATGTCCGACTGCAGCTTAGGTCTGCTCCCCGCTGGCAAGTGGACATCCCCTGAGGGCTGCTGGGCTGCCAGAGGGATATCTGATTGCCATCTT